TTTATTATTCCAGAGTGGTTAAGTAAATTGTAAACACTGATACAGTGTATATACATATACTTTGTGGTATATTTCTGATAAAAGACAAAAACTAATCAGTAATATTACTTAATAGGTTTTGTTTTTGCTGTATTTTATTTAATTTGATCAGTAGTATTGAGTCCTGTAGTATTTTTTCAGTTATTTGTGTTTTGCCCGTTTGTAGCCGCGCCTCTAGACAGTATCCCGAGTCTTGCTGCTTACTACGTGGAGTGCTTGAGGCAGGTGCAGCCAGAGGGGCCGTATCGCATCGCTGGCTACTCGTTCGGTGCGTGTGTGGCTTTTGAGATGTGCTCACAGCTGCAGGCAGCCAAATGCCCCGTGGAATACCTCTTCCTGTTTGACGGCTCGCACTCTTACGTGGCAGCATATACACAGGTGCTATAAAAGAGCTAAAAAAAAAAAAAAAACCAAAACAGAAGAAAATGGTGTGCCAGGCCACATGGTAATCTTCTTTTTTCTCTCTAACAGAGTTACAGAGCCAAACTGACCCCTGGCAAAGAGTCTGAGGCAGAGACTGAGGCTCTATGTGCTTTTATCCAACAGTTCACTGGCATTGAGTATAACAAGGTACATTAACAACTGTTAATATGTGATTTATTCTTCAAAAGATTTTTGATTTATTTCAAATTTCTAAATTAACAAATCAGACAACACTTAACTCATCATAGTTCAGTTGCTAAATGTAATGGTTCTTCACACAGCTGTTGGAGACATTGTTACCTCTATCAGACCTGGAGGCTCGAGTGAACAAGGCTGTGGATCTGATCACATCCAGCCATAAGAATGTCAGCCGAGATATGCTCCATTTTGCTGCTTCTACATTTTACCACAAACTGAAGGCCGCCGACCGCTACGTCCCAACTTCCAAGTATCACGGCAATGTCACCCTGCTGAGAGCCAAGGCCAGCAGCGAGTACGGTGATGGTTTAGGATCTGACTACAAGCTGCATGAGGTAAATACAGTATATGGACCGCACATTTAGGGAATACTGAAAGCTTTTGTAGTAAAAATGAAGACTTCAAGTTTAGTGTTGTGCATCCCTGCAGTGTTAACCTTCAAATGGTCTTCGTTTCCTGTTTACACTTCTGGGCCCGTATCCCTAAAGATTCTGAGAATCCTCTCAGAGAGCTCCTAACTTAACCTAAAAATTCCTTGCCTGGAGTTTTAGATTAGAAGTGATTCCAGAGCATTTTCAATGAATTCTGAGCAAGGAATGGATGGAAAATCCTATCTTAGTGAGGAGGTGTGGTTGACCCCGTTTGCTAGGTACAGTATGAGTCATCATTTCAAAAGCCGTGATTGGTTGATCCTACAAGTTTGATGAAAATGAACTTTTGGTGATAATGAGCAAAGGATGTACCCTCAAATTATACACTCTAGTCTTACGCAGACTGTAATTGTAAATAATATTTCACACTCAAGAAATCTGGAAAATGAATAGTAAGCTGTAGGGGTTATTGCCTAACATTAGAATCTAAAATATGTGAAAACTTAAGCTCATTACACCCTGTTCAAATAATTATTCGTGTCTTATTTGCTCATATTAATAGCTGGCATATTTTGTACTTTCACTCCCATATGGACCCCATTGAAAACAAGATGGCCTATCTCAAGGGGCTGTCCTTAATGAAGTAGAGGGCTCAGCTTTTATCAATGTCTGTGATTGCTGGCTGGTCTATTTATGAAGGCTTGTTAACAAATATCCTACAAACAGAGAAAATGGAGGAAAAAAAGAATAGCAAGCCAGTGTTTGCAGGACATCTCAAATGCCTCCTCTGTTGGCCATTTTGTGCAGCTGCTTAGGGGAACTCCTAAGCCACTAAAAGTCCTCTTAGCAGATCTCGCCTTAAGAGCCCTTTTAAGCGCTAGGAATCTTGAGGAATAGCTTTTTTATTAAAGTCCCCGTGAACCGGAAGTTGCAAACGATTTTTCTCCAGTGCTGTGACGTATTTCCAAGTGAAACGGAATATTGAACAGAGGGCAGGGTTTTACTCTAGCGCTCCTCCTCTCCATCTCTCGCTCATAGCAAACTAACGGTTTGAGGGGAGTGGTTAAGCGTTTCCCCACCCAAACTGTGAAACCTACGTCATCAGAAAAAGAAACCGTTCCAGACCGGAAGTAACTTTTCAGATTTTGATTAAAGATTACCAAGGTAAAACATTTTTTTAATATATTTTTACGTGCACGGATTAATTGTTAACCACAAGACTAGTAATATGCGCTAACAAAGTAAATAGGTTCAATTTTGATTTCACGGGGACTTTAACTGGGATTTTCGTGTCGCTTTTAGGGGAAATTCTAAGAAAATGTCATGACTCTTTTTGATTCTAATCATGTCATCATGATTCTAATTTTCTTAGAATTTGGCCGCTAGGAGCCACTTTTTGCACAAAAATTCTTTAGGGATATGGACCCTGGGCTTTGGGGTCTATACGACCCCAACAATTGATTTGAGTAATTGTACAAAAAATATACATCTTTAATCATACAAATAATATATCATTTTTTTTGTTTACTTCTCATCTATTCATTAATGCTGTGTTTTTGGAGATTAAAGTACTTTTGTATCCATATACCACACAATTCCTATACTACACCATTAGCTTGTGTAAAAATTTTCAGATTTATGCCGGATTTTTTTTTTTTTTTGGATGAAAATGATGAAAATATATTTCGTTTTTTTTTTTCACATTTCCCATTCATTTCAATGTGGGGTTTAATATTGTCATTTCATTTCAAAATTGATCGCGAAGACCAGAAGTTGAATTTTTTTACATACCTTCAGAACAACCGCATCAAGCCCAGTTTTTTTGTGTGTGCATAGATAGATAATGTTTGAAAAGTCGCAAAATCTTATTCCACTGAGATGAAGGGAACCTTTTTTTTATTAAGTAAAAGTCAATTGAGGTCGTATAGACCCCTTAACCCGATTGAAGGCTACCAATTGGATTGTGTTGTCTCCAGGTGTGTGACGGGAAGGTGTCCGTTCATGTGATCGAGGGAGACCACCGGTCCTTTTTGGAGGGAGAGGGTGTGGAGTCCATGTCAGGCATCATCCACAGCTCACTGGCTGAGCCCAGAGTCAGCACCAGAGAGGGCTGAACCTTCCGGCAAACATCTTTTCCTTCTTTCGTTTCACCCTTACTCTGTTGCTTTCACCTGTCAAACCAAAACACTGTGTCTCGTATTAAAACACGTATGTCTGTCATCTCTTCACACCTCTCTCACACACACACACAGCAGCCTTTTCTTTTCATCTTTCTCATTCACTTGATATCTTAGTTGCTTATCACTATTTACATTTCACTAAAAATGTATAGTCCAAACAAAACAAAACTGGTGCACACTGTTTGCTTGCTTTATTGGTTAAGAATCAATCAGCTGTTAATTATCTTCTATAATTCATCAGACGTTACTGTGAAATATAACACGTCACTGTTTTCTAGCATGTGAGCCTGGTTAAGTGCCATCACTGATACTACAAGTCTGCTAAAGGTTCTGTCAAACCTGTGTATTCATGTTCATACATCTCTGCATATCCAACCTAATGATGCGGACTGCAAGTCAAGGCTGTATTCGAATCCACATATTAGCTAGCCGTTAGGAATCTAGTTACGCACATAGCTGAGATTGCTGTTTACCAATTTTGAGTGGTCACTCACTGATGCTTCAGCGGTACTAGTTGATGGCGTTTACTGTAGCATTGTTTTTCTTTTCTGAATGATATTTGCTGGTTCTCTTGTTATTGCTGGTATTGCAATAATTGTGTAATTGTTGTTTATTTAAAAGGGAAAATATGTATGAAAAGAACGTTCCTGTATGAAAGTAACAATTAAGAGAGCTGGTTTATTGACTTCTTGTTAATGTTTACTTTGAAGTTAGGGGTTAATTTTGGAACATTTGTTACTTTAAAAAATATATATTATCTCACTATTGCACTAGCTAAAAGCAAAATGATTTTATGACACTGATGTGGAATGCCTGGCAATCCAGAGTGAATCATCTCGGCTCATACTGAAATGTTGCTTCGCTGCTTAACTGTAGACCTGTAACTGGAGTATTAATCTTGTATTGACGTTTCTAATCCTCTTTTGAGGATAGCACCAACATTCCTTATTCCAGGTGTCTCTCAGATGTATACCTTCTCCCAAAAATGCTCTGTAATTAACTTCTGATGTTAGTTGTAGCAAATTCTTGTGGCTTGGTCCACATTAAACACAAGCAAATCGTATGGTTTATCCTAAATCTTGCCCGAATGAAGTGTTATTTGGTGTAGGAGTGAATTTTGAGATGTATGAGTATGTTCTTGGCAGTGACATGTTTACTGACTTTCTCTTTCTTTCATGGCAGAGGAAAGTCTTCTTTTAGAAAGCAAATCACTATACATTTCTGAGACTTTAGAATTGCTCTAAAAGTCAGTGACGAACTGTGATTTCTTTCAATGTTAAGAGCAAAGCTGAAAGTGCTAGCGTTCATTTTTCTATTATTAATTTGTTTTTTCTTTTGGTGTAATTTTCCCTGTATTTATTGAACTAGTTCAAATAAAAAGCTATTACTAACATACACATCCAGTGCAATGGTTTGTTTTCTCATCAACCATATTTGATATTGCTGTGTTGTTCATTTAAGGCTATGAATATTAAGGCTATAATATAATTAAGCTAAGAATTAAAAATCCAGTTCAAACCAATGTTATCAAACAATTTTTATTAAAAAGAAATCTGTAACAAAGTATACTCACGTTAACCTAATAAAAAAAAAAAGCAACAACAATGTAAAACATCCCCTTGGAATCACCTTTAAATTCAGGATTTAGAATGAAAAATGATATTAACATATTTACAATAAGAAAATTAAAATCACAAACCTTAAAAAAAGCAGTTAAATCCATTTTCACTCATTACAGTTTGCATCTCTGTGATCTGAATGTGCATGCATAGAATATTTGAACAGCGAATTCTTCATGCAGTTATTTCACAAACTGTCAAATTAGTTGCATGTAGCAAAGTATACAGAGAAATCTAGCATAAGTACTGAATATCATCTGGTAATGCCTCTAAAGATATGAGAAATGTAATGACAGATAATGCTTTGAGATTGTCACCAGGATGTTTGGAAGACTGGAACATTTGGTTGTTTTATTTAAGGCTTGATACAGTGTTTTCCACCATTTTCTAACTCTCCCTGAGGCTTTTAAAGTTCATCTTCCTCTTTTGAATCACTGCTATCACCCAATCCCAAATCCTCAATGTCGTCATCATCATCAGGAGAATCGTCTTCTAGCAAACGCTGCTGTAACTCCTCAAGACCCAAAAAGCGCTTCAGAAGTGCAGCAAGTGCCTCCACATCACTGAACAAAAGCACACACACACAAAAAAAGTCACAATAATTTCACACTGAAAAAACCCAAATGGTGTAAAAACAAATTTTTTTTTATTATTAACGAATATTCTGATGTACATTTTGTTTTACATAACCATAGGACTGTAAAAGGACAAGTACCTGCGTGACCCCAGCGTGGCATTCTGTGTAAGCGGGTGAGAGAAGCCCGTTGCTAGACGCAGCACTAACAGGTAACCCTTCCCAAGATACCTCACTCTCTCCTCCTGAACACTCACGTCACGCAGGTGCCGCAGATCTAATACCACTGAGTTGGAGAGAAAAGGCATTTTCATCTTGTTATTTGGCCAGTCATTTAGCAAAACAATAATGACAGCTAACACAAAGCTCACCTCTCTCATGCCCTCTTCTCCACAGAGTCAGTATCATGGTGTAGATGCTAAACGTCTTTAGTTCTATCTCATTCTTAGATTTATCAAACACTGCTTCCTAAGGACAAAGCGCAACAGATCGTTAGTCAGGACAGCTGAATACATTGACTTAAAGATCATGGATGTAGTGTGTGTAAAACATTTCCCTACCTCCCATTCCTCCATATTCTGTAGGGCTACAAAAAAACAACCCGTCACATAGAACATCTTCCATAATATACTGTCTACAACAAAAGGAAATAGCAAAATGAGGAACACAGATCACAAAAGCCATTCTTTTGTTGTTTTATTCACTCCCAGGGTTTCAGGAACCATTTCTCACCAGCGCTGTAATAGGCTGCTGCTAGTCCAACTGAAGCAATTCCTGTAAAATGAGGAAGAAGGAAGACATTTAAAGATATGTTGTGTAATGCGTGTTAGACTACACACGTCTAGCTGCCAAGCTCCCCAGATCTCATACCAACAAGGAGGGACCATGATCTAATCCCAGGAGACCTCTTCAAGTGGAGGAGATCAGATGTATGTTTTTCCACGACCATATACCCCATCTGTTAGAAGAAGAAAAAAACATGTTTAAATATATTTAATTTTTTTTGTGGACACATTAATGTCTAGTTGAGTACACGTAAAAGATTTTGTTGAATATTTACATTTATGTGTATAGCATCACTATAATCATGACGTGCCAATCTGACAACATGCCAGAATACTGCAGCTTTATAAAGGAGAGCACAGTTTTAAAAGTCTAAATACTGCACAAAGTTGTTTGTATGAACCGTATATTGAATATAAGAATAATAAGCCAGATCAGTTTCATGATTTTTTTTTTAAATAGCACAGGGACAACACCCTCATTAATGTGACCACACACATGCTTCCATTAACGTTAACTGCCATAATCGCATGTGAAAGTATCTGACACCTTACCTCAATAACTCGCTTTTTCCTTCCGGATTAATATATATAATTTTTAAATATATCAAATTTTAATGTCGGACATTTGCAACAGAAAATGTCAGAAAACAAATTAAGGAAATAAAATGAGTAGCTCATGCCCATACACACATAAACCCGCCTTCGGATGACGTTGATTTCCGCTAAGCAGATAGCGTTATGATTGGATAACATGTATTAAAAGGACCCGCCCTCTGCTTTATGACGCTTCCTTCCAGTCATAGCTTGTTAACAATCTGAAACATACCGATATTATGTATGAAAAGAGTAATGTGTGAAAAGAATAAGTTGAATTGAATAATGTTAATACTTGAATACTCTGTACTAACAGTTAATCCATTGGCGAAAATGGCATGATTCACGCATGCGTGTCGATCATAGACTGGTGTCAATCCACTCAAGCAATCCTTCTCGCGAATCGGTTCGTTCAAACAGTTCGATTCTAGGAGCCGGTTAAAAAAACGAGGTTATTTGAGTAATGACGTAACACGCCATCACGTGGCCTATGATGGTCCCTGATATCAAGCCATAGATCAGTGTATCCAGCGTGTCATGTTCTAAATGTAAGTTGGTACATTTTATTTGTATTAATTTGTGTTAGGAAGGGATGTTTATTTATTTGTTACAACCATGATTAAGCAATTTTAAAAAAAAGTAATTTATTGCATACATATATTTTGCCTTTACTTTAAATATTATAATAATTCTGAATCAGACATTATCGGTGAGTTTGTTGTCATTTTAAGCCAAAATGGAGGTCAACCTTGAACAAATTGCAACAGAAGCAAACTCATCTGATTTTGTGTCCTCAATATGACCTAAGGGAAAAAAGCCCATCAGGGGAAAGTTTAGAAAAGAACCCAAATATCCCATTTCATTCGCCTATTCACAATTTTTCTCACGTGAAAAGGGTAAACATTTTAACCTTTAGATATCATGAAAATCACTGAGTTGATTACTTACTTCAAGTCAAGACAAACAAAATTGAGAATTCGTAATGATACGACAACGTCTCTTTCCAACATACATCTGATTAATAATTAATCAGATGTATGTTGGAAAGAGACAGTTGTCGTATCATTACGAATTAGACATGTCAGGAAGAGAAGATTCTTGGTTCAGTGAGTTGGTGACTCGGTTCAACTGATTCTTTGAAATGATCCGACTCAAATGAATGATTCATTCACGATTCAGACACTTCTAAGGACAATGGAGTCGGAAGCACCGATGCTAAGACAAGCCGAGATCCTTCTACCGCGAATGTGGATTAGTCAGAGTTGTGGAACTAATGACTGGATGAACATTAGTGTTAACTGACCGCAGTGCGCTGTTTGTGTTTTCAGATGGTCAGCTCGGGCTTTTATGTGTCATTAATAGAAGTTCCTGCTTTAGTTCCACTGCTGCGTCTCCTGCTTTCCCCCTGAACAATGAGGACTTCATGTGGTTTTTATGTGAGTCGGTTGTTCTTTTTTTTTAGGTTTTTTTTTTTTTTTTTTTAGTTTATGATTTATTTTAGTACTCGTTCAACATTCGGCAACGTTAGATAACGGTGGGAGATTGCTGAGTAAATGTCACGGGTTATCTAAGGAAAGCGAAGTCCTCAGAGCTCTCTCTGTCATTTATTTATCACCCAATTACATGGTGAACGTGATCCAACTGCTTAACGTGTGATTATTTATAAATCCTCAAAACAGTAATTTGGTGAAACTGAAAAGAGCCCATCATGGGAACCTGAAATTATGGCATTTCCCTCAAATTGGCTTTTGTATGAATATTTCAGGTTAATAGCAGGCTTTATTGTGACTGTATCTTATTTCTAACCCCTTGTTTTTGTTAAATATGTGTTTTTGGTGTCATATAATACCCAGAATGCTCTATAAATACAGAAAGCTTTCAATTTCAGTTTCTCATTTCAGAGGAGTAATTCATGGCACTAAATATTTCAAGAGCTCCTTATACAATGTCTGAAGTCAAAATTGGACGGAAAAAAGAAAAGTGTGAGAATTGCACAAAACAGGTAATGGATTGGTAATGTATTGATTTAATAAAATTATGTCTGAATGTTATGCTTTATTGTCACCAGTGTATTGCTTAAGCACTCATTAGTGTTTATTATCGATTCCACCTTTTAGTGCAACAAGAAAAAAAGTGATGAAAGTATAAACTCACTGCAAGAGAAAGATGTTGCAAGTGGAGAGGTAGGCTATTTCTCATTGCTCCTTTTATGTGTCTGAGTTGTAATCAGAAAAACTGAGGTTCACATCTGTTGTTTTGTTTGTGTTTGTTTTGGGGGAGGGTGAATGAACAAACACTCATTTTGTTCTGGACATGATGTGTGTTTGGGGAGGGTGAATGAACAAACACTCATTTTGTTCTGGACCTGTAGATGTGGATAATCTGAAACGCTGTTTTCCTCAGGTAAGAGAGGCTACCTCAGTTCAGCAGGTGTTGCTGAGCGCGTGCCTGTCCTGCGACGGCTGCGTATCGGAAGACGAAGGCAAGAGAATCTCTCAGCAGAATCTGGATGAGATCAACCATGTGCTTGCCATTAATAAGGTACTTTAAGCCTGACAAATTCAGACTTTAGAAAGATGATCTATGTGGATGTATCTTGCATTGTTATTTTTGTTTTCTTTGGCAGAAATGTGACACTTCGAAGCACAAAACTGTCGTGGTGTCCGTGTGTCCCCAGTCGCTGCCATTCTTTGCTGTTAAATTTCAATTGGACGTTCCAGCAGCTGCACAGAAACTCTGTGGTTTCCTGAAGAGTGTGGGTACGTCTGGACACCACATGTGCCTTAAAGTCACTTTGCCTACCTCTTTATTTTATTTTATTTTGCTTTTCATTAAAACAAGATGTTCTGAAATCTGAAAGTAAATAACCGTCCTAAATATTTGTATTTGTGTATCAACAGTTATTTTAGTATTATTTATTTACTACTATAGTTTTTATTCGCTTTTATATTAGCTTTTTTAGTATTCATTTAAAACAAAATTTGTCGTTTTTATTATTTAATAGTACTATTATTTTTATTTGAGTATTACGTTTAGTTCAGTTTTAGTTATTTCTTTCTTCCCTGTTAGTAATTTTAGTGCATGGCAACATTTTAATTTTTGTTTTGTTTAAGTTTTAATGTTGTCAATATTTGATTTTGATTTTATTTCAGCTTTATTTTAAATGAATAATTCATTTTTGTTTTTAGTTTTAGCTAACAATAATAATCCTGTTACACATGGCATGAGTTATTTAATACTGAGTTTAACATGAGTTCTTTCATACTGTTTTAAAAGCCTTTTTCATCTGTCTCCTCAGGGGTTCATTTTGTCTTTGACAGTACAGTAGCTGCCAGTTTTAGCATTTTGGAAAGCCAGAAAGAATTTGTTCAGCGTTACCGCCGTAAACACCATGATGCCAATTCCATACCGATGTTCACTTCCTCATGTCCAGGTAAGACCATCTTGATAACCTCTTAAAGGCACAGTATGTAATTTTCGCCGCTAGAGGCCACATATTCAAAACAGTAACAAAGGCGTGGCTTGATGGAATGTGGAATGATGAGAGTTGTCATCTTCACCTTCATTGCCGATGGAAATCAATCTGAAGGAACTCACAAATCATGTTCATGAATGAGGTATTGAAATTGATGTATGTTTTGACTCATATTTATTGCTAAATTACCATTTATACATGTCACTTTATTTGTCAAATCAAATGGTGGGGTGACGCAGCACAGTTTTACATGTTCAAAACAATCATACTAAATAGTGTACTAAACATGTACTAAAGTACATTATAATGTACCCGCAGCATTTGCAAAAAGGCTTGCTTACTATTTATGTATAACGCATGCTGTTTTTAATAATTACACTGCCATAGACTAAATGCAAACTATAACAAATAATTGTGGTCCATGACCGGCATGACGACTGTGCGACAGAGTGTTGTGCTAGACTACTACTACTTACATATTTTTTTCATGAGATTTACTGTGTTGCCATGGTTTCTATGACACTAAAAGCGAAAACCGAGGTTAATGCGGACATGACGCCATTGACAGGCGACACAATGAGGAGGGTCTTTACCCTGGTTAAAATTGTGAATTTCTCTGGCTTTAAACATTGTTGGAAACATTAGGGATAGTGTAAGTATAAAAGTGAGCAAAATATATTACACTGTGCTAGTGGTGTTGGATATTTTTATGCAAAAATCTTACATGCCTTTAAACTCAATTGCATCTCTTAAAACACATCGTAAGGCCCCGTTCCACCTGAAAGCACTTCTATACAGTATATAATACTTCCATAAAGGTATAAAAATGACAACGTGCAAGTAGGTCCGCACAGAATGTCTGCTGGTATTCACCGCATTGTGTGCTCATTTATAAAATCTATTTTAGCTAATTCGATTATGCTTTCAGCTTACATTGCAAGAAAAGTCCACCTGGGTCTGCCGGTTTAAAACTATTGAAAAATATTTTGGATTGTTGTGCTATTATAAGAGAAGTGGTTGCCATCTTGCATCCATCCTGCAACACAAATAAGCACCTCTAGCCAGAGCCTTCAAGAAAAAGATCACATTTTCTGCTCTTAACTCTGAACCTCAAGCCTTTGTGTGTTTCGCAAACATTGTGTCTCTTAATGTAGATAAGAGCCAAATGATGTGCAGTGGTGTGTAAATGTGGGTTGTGTTTGGATGGGTGGGACTGTTAGATAGCCATAGCATTCTGAAGCTGTGAGATAGTAGTTCAAGACACATCACACACCCTTCCTGCACTTTTCACAACTTTAGTCCACAATCTCAGAGTGGCTGTTATTTAATTTTCATCATGGATGATTATTAACTCACTAAGCTGATGTTTAATTAATGTGACTTCCAGTACATTTAGTTCAATGACCCAGGTTACTTGTCTTGCTCAAACTAGTAGTGGTGGGAATCAGCAGAGACCTGGCGTGCATTATTTTTTTTAATTTTTTTTTTTTTTTTTGAAGAAGAAGAAATTAACACTTTTATTCAGCAAGAAAATATATCAAATGTAACCATAAAGACATTTATTATGTTTCAAAAGATTTCTGTTTGAAATAAATTCCGAACATCCTATTCATTAAAAAAAAAATGCT